TAATGACTCCTATACCCATAATTCACTGTAGACATCAGTTTTGTCTGATAATACATAAATTGGCCTGACGATGGAAGTTAGCTGTTTTCACTCTAAATTGCAGTATAGTGCTAGATAGCAATAAAGAATGTGTGGGCCAGATTCACTGAGTTTCAGTAAAATTACAGAGCAGAGATTTTGTCCCTCTCGTTTAGGAAATACACATTTCCTCTCTAGAACGGAGATGCAGCTTTTCCTTTGATTAAAATATAACTGCTCTGAAAAAAATGTAAATATTCTGGGACAAGGGAAAGAACAATGTGATTATTTATCCTAGAAGGAATGTTAGCTTCAAGGCATGGCTGAATGTTACAATGACTTTTACGGGAAATACCATGTGCTTTTATGATGTTGTGATTAAGTGTGATCAGTTAGCAGGAGAAGTTGCATGAAATTCTGACTGCACTGAATTTCATGGGAATTTTGCCAGTGACTTTAACAGGCACAGGCCTTTCCTGGGATTCTGGAAATGGTGAAAGCATTTTACTTGCCCATTTGATTTTGAGTTATAGTATATTGGCTCTTTGTGTCTTTAGTTGCTTGATTTTCTGGGCTGAAGTACATGTTATGGCTATTTATGCTGAGTGAGCTTAAAATAATCTTTAACTGTGCTCAACTCAGTTGCAAAGGTGCAAAAGCTGTTGTGTTGAATAGATTATTGCAACTGTAAAATTGTCTTTTCAAAGGAGGAACGGAATACCGCAAATTGGCAGGGGTGAGGGGGGTTATGAAGCTTTTTCCTTAGCAATTTTTAATTAGCTGCTGAATGTAAAAGGACAAAATGAAGAAGCTGTTTCTAAATTGAAGGAGATTCTAAAGGAAAAAAAAAAATCAATAACGTTTAAAGAATCAGATTTTTAGTTAGTATTTCATGGGTCCTTTCCAAACTATTAAGTAGATGTAATTCAGAACCAGTGCTTGGAACATCTGATTCAGGAATATCAAATGTTAGTATCTCTGTCTTAGAGACACTGTTGTGTTTGTGGTCTGAAATTGAGCTTTCTACCATTTGGAGTACCTTCAATGGATGTTCATGATAGAAAATGTTAGACTTGTTTTATAATAGCAGTTTCATAGGTTCAAACAGTGGCTTCTCATACAGAACTCAGTCATGGGTTGCGGGTCAAAAAGGAAAGCGTTCTGCACAGAACTGCTTTGTCATCTGCCTGTTGTAAGTGAACAGAAGGAGGTGAAATGAAGCAGGGTTTTCATCCAGTGTGCCACCTACATAGTTACCTTCATATGTTAGAGAATATGCCGTGTATTGTGTAGGCACGTGCTGAAAGTAGACACACAGTTTCTTTCCAAAGAAATAGGAGAGCCAAGAGGAAGCCTCTAACTGACTTAATTTCTGAATCTCACCCTTTCCACCAGGATAGCCTGTGGACCATAGCAGCAACACACCATGTTTATCCTGAGCTCATGATAAAGTAATAATTCAGCCATTCATGTGGAGTGAATAGAGAAATGTGACCACTTGGCGTATGATTAGTTATATATTTAACACTCATACTATATCAGGCAGTAGCATTGTTGCTCTTGGTTCTAAATCTGTATGAAGATGTTCAGATGACAAAAAGATGGTGATCAGGGAAGTAGATGTAAGTTTTCTTTAGGGATAGATATGCTGTGGAAGGAAAAACAGAAGGGAGATCAACCAATCGTAAGCTGTTGCATCTTAGTTATTATAGTAGGTGTTTCCTCACAGTTTGCAATTTATCCATTAGTCCAGGACTGGGACCTGATGGGTGATGTAATCTATAATTTAGGCTTATCAACAAACTTGACCCTTACAGATGGCTGTATCAGTGAATTGGCAGCAGTCTAAAATGTTACCTTTTTTTCATAAGAGGAGTCTTAACACTGTAAGTACTCAAAACCATGTAATAACAAATTTGGAGTCTTTAGTCTTAGGGTCTTAGTGGCTTGCATCCAGAATATCTGCAGCAGTGCCTTGGGATTCCACTTGAAGTCTTCACTGAAGGCTATTTCTTGTAAAGCTATTAGCCCAGCAGAATGGAAATCAGAGTGGGTTAAACTTCTCTGTTTCTCAGGCTGGATATTTGAACTGAATGTTTTAAGCCTGACTTGAATAACTTTCACCCAGTACTGTCACCATAATGCCTTTGCTATAGATATATGCAGAGAGCTGACACAGCTGGAAACAAAAGGATGAATGCACCAGGATATGAAATGAGAGCAATTGAATGCCAGATGGAGGTCCGCCTTTCGGAGAATGAGGGAAGTCACATGAGCCATCTGGGCCGTGCCCTCAGGAGGCACATCCACAGATTCTAAACCAGTAAGACTCCCAGTTTCAATCTCCAGCTCTGTATTTGTGAAAAGCCTGCCTCTGTTTTTCACATTTTACTTTAATGGAATAGTGCCTAGCTCATGAGATTTCAAGCCTGATGTGATGAATTGCACCTGTCCAAATGGTGAAGCAAGAACAACTGAAACAAGAGTTGGCCCAATGCCCTAGAAAGTTTCCAGATGAACATTTATCTCTCTTCACAAAAGGTTGTCTTGTGCAGCTCTGCATTTTTGCCTTCCTACATAGTTGCTTGCCATATATGTGTATGTCTATAACTGTAGATACAGGCTGCTTTTTATCTTTTAATTTGTTTTTCTTCTTAAATTATTCTCTTTTCTGCATGTCTACAAATGTAAGCAAAATGAAAACTGAATAGCTCATCATAAGATCTGTGCTTTCTTAGCTACTCTTACCTTGAGATCTGTGGTATGAAATTAATAAACTTCCTCCTAAAGGTTTCATAGTAAATACGCATAGCAAACCTCCGCCCACCCCCC